GCTAGAACCAACTTCTTCATCTTCATCTCCCTCCTCCTCTTCACCCCCTTCATCTTCCTCATCTTCCTCCTCTTCCTTCTTTTTCTTGCTTTTTTCAGCCTTGACGACTCCCTTTATCCTGCATCAGGCTTCCCTTTAGCTCGGTCTGCAGCAATATCCTTTGTGTATTTTTCCTTCAGCTTTGCAGCCTTCTTTTCCTCAGGCTGCTTGTCACCCGCAGCAGTGTTACTCCACGTCTCTCCCAGCCTCTTTGCAGCATCTCCAATGGATGGGCCGGGATGTTCTTCTTTGATTTTGGGGCGATACTCAGAACAGAACAAGAAAAAGGCCGAAGGAGGCCTCTTGGGTGCACTGGGATCCTTCAATTTCTTTTTGTTTCCCCTTTAGGAAGGATATAGGTTTTCATTTCTCTTTCATAACAGGCCTTGTCCGCCTTTGCCGTATCTTCAAATTTTCCTTTCTCTTTAGCAGACATGGTCTTCCACCTCTCTGAGCACTTCTTAGAAAAGTCTGAGAAGTTGACTGAAGCATCTGGGGCTTCTTCTTGTGCTCCTCCCGACAAGTTTGCACAAAGAATGCAGATGAGGACATTCCGCCTCTTGGCTTCTTAGGATCTCCTTTGCCCATGTTTAGTTATTTTTCCTCAGGGAGGCACAGAGTCGCCCAGTGCCCGTCTGGCTCTCACTTGCCCCGGCGCTGTCTCTATGGAGCTCAATGTACTGCAATGTAGAGCCTAGATTGGATTTTCTAAAATGTACAGGTAAAAGTATTAAGCTAGCAGTTCTCAACCTCTGGGTCATGACCCCTTTCTAACAATGAAAATACACTGTGGCATTAGGAAGGTTGAGAACCACTGCTAAGCTTTAAAATGGAGAACAATACATACATTTTACCTACCTCATAGCAATACTGTTGAACTTTATGCAAAACTTTGTTTAGGTCCTTGTTTAGCTGTTCAAGCTCTAGAACAATTGTCGCATATCTCCTCTGAAATTCAATGCCAATGGGCATGGAATATGATTTCTGTGAAGAAAAAAATAAACAGGCCTTGATAAGGGTATTTTTTGTTTCTTGTTTTGGTGATACAATTTCAGTGCTCTAAAAGGAGAAGCTAACTTACCTAAAACACACTAAATATAATAAGAGTTAAAAATAAATAACTAAATACCAAAATCTGTATTAGGATAAAAAAAAACGGAAAAAGAAAAATACTAAAGGTTATTAAACTTGTCTACATTTCTTATTACAGTTCTTGTGTGTGATAATGGTATTGTTTACTTAGGAGATCGTCCTTGCTCTTAGGAGTGTCATGATGTCTGCCATTTACTTCATTTTTATTTTTTTGAGACAAAGTCTCAGTCAGTCACCCTGAGAACTCATTTTGGGGTATCACTTACTAAGACCCTATATACCTTCACAGAAGATGTACTAATTTATATGTAAGAATGCTATTTCCCCATATCCTCGCCAATATAGTATTTTCAAAGTTCTTTAGCTTTGTCAGTCACATATTCAAGGCACACACATGCACACACACACACACATATATAATTGTGACAGAATCTCATTTTGTTGCCCTTGGTAGAGTGCCATGGCATCACAGCTCACAGCCACCTCCAGCTCCTGGGCTTAGGCGCTTCTCTTGCCTTCAGTCTCCTGAGTAGTTGGGATTACAGGTGCCTGCCACAACGCCCGGCTATTTTTTGTTGCAGTTTGGCTGGGGCCGGTTTCAAATGTGCCACCCTCAGTATATGGGGGTTGGTGCCCTACCCATTGAGCCACAGGCACCGCCCAAGAGTCACTTGTATTTTTTTTTAACCTATGAACCTTCTATTCACACCCTTTGCTGTCTCCTTGGTGATTGATCTTTATCTTATTGCTCTGAAGGAGGATTTTATGTTTTAGACAAATTAGCCCTTTGTGATATGGGTGTCAATACCTTCTCTCCATTTGTTGTCCTTTGATTTTACACAGTGATTCTTTTTTTTGGCCAGGGCTGGGTTTGAACCCGCCACCTCTGGTATAGGGGGCTGGCACCCTACTCCTTGAGCCACAGGCTTACCGTACACAGTGATTCTTGCCATGAGAAAATTTTTATTTTTTATGTAGGCAAATTTATCAATTTTTCATGACTTCTGGATTTTGTATCATGTTTAGAAAGTTTCTGGCATTCCTTTAAATCTCTGAGCTTTTTTTAGTTGAGTCTTTTAATAGCATCTTACTATGGACACTATATTTTGTTAAATCTCCATGTATATTATTCTTCCCAGTTTTATTAGAATATAATTGACATATGAAAAGTATATATATTTGTGGCATACATGTTTCAGTATACGTATACACTGTAAAAAGATTAAATCAAGGTAATTAACATATCCATCACATCACATACTTTTTTGTGGTGAGAACACTTAAGATACAATTTCTTGCTCCCTATAGCCACCATACCGTATAGTGTATCTCCAGAATTTATTTGTTCTGTCCAACTAAAACTCTGCATCTTTTGACAAATATCTCCCCATTCCGAGTATTTTTTTTTTTTTTTTGAGACAGAGCCTCAAGATGTCCCCCTGGGTAGAGTGCCATGGCATCACAGCTCACAGCAACCTCCAACTCCTGGGCTCAGGTGAGTCTCCTGCCTCAGCCTCCCAAGTAGCTGGGACCACAGGCGCCCGCCACAACGCCCGGCCATTTTTTGGGTTGCAGCCGTCATTGTTGTTTGGCGGGCCCGGGCTGGGGATTCGAACCCGCCACCTTAGGTGTATGTGGCTGGCACCTTAGCCGCTTGAGCCACAGGTGCCGAGCCAGAGTATGTTAGTTTTTAAAATTTATCTGTTTTCTGAGTTCAGTTTCCTTAGATGTGGTTTTTCTGTTTATCTTCGTTTTTCTATTTTATGCTACTTATTTTCTTATATGGCCAATATTATTTGGTTGTTTATTCATATTTAATAAAGAAACAGGTAGCCTCTATGGGTTTCCTGGTGTTTTTCTTTTTCTAGGTCTCTAGTGAAAGGCAAAGATAAGTTAGGGATATATTGGGACATGTCAACTGTTAGGTTGTGCTTTAGGGTGAGTGGGGAAGAAGCAGTTGTCAGGCTGTGGGATCTCTAAATACTAGAGTGAAACCTTTTAGGTATAATCATGCTTATGTGTTTAGTGTTTATGTTTTTATTTTATTTGAGAAGTATAAAAACAGAGAAAAGGACACAAAATGTAAATGTACAATTCAATGAATTATTGCAAAGTAAACACCTGTGTAAAACAACAGCTATTAAAAAGTAAAATACACACCTGTTGTATGAGGTAAGAGAAATAAAAAACATATGTGCATGCAAATACTTGTACATGAATGTTCACAGCAACTTTATTTGTATTAGCAAAAAACTATTAGCAATCCAAATGTCCATCAACAGGTAAATAAATACATACATTATGGTACATCCACATAATGAAGATACTACTTAGTAATAAAAAGAAAGGAACTACATGTGTGAATTCTGAAAATACAACCAAGTGGAAAAATCTCAAGATCATTATGCAGAACGAAAAAAGCCAGGACAAAAAAAAGGAGTACATACGATATGATTCCACTTATGTAAAATTCTAGAAAATACAAATTAATGTATAATGACAAGAAGCAGATCAGTGGAGCCTGGAGGAGAGGGAGAGAGATTACCAAAGGCTTGGCAAAATATGGGGGTAGGGAAAGAGATAGAAATGTCTGTAATAGAGCTTGTGGCTTCACAGGTGTGTGTATACATGCATGATTAAATGGTATATCTCAAACAGGTACAGTTTGCCGTACATCAACAAAGTTGGTGATGATAATAATGATGGGAAAACCTACTCAGATCAAGGGATAATATGTTGCCAGTATCCCATAAGTCACCTCAAAATCATTTCTCTCTTCTCTCTTCAAAGTAACCATTTACACCCTGGTATCAAACATTATAGTTTCACTTTTGAAATGCAATGACTTATGTCAAATGCAATCATACAGCATATATTCTTTTGTTCCTGGCATCTTTCGGTTAACATTATTATTATTTTTTCTTTAAACATTATTTTTTTATAATTATTTTTTATTAAATCATAACTTTGTACATTGATGCATTTATGGGGTTCAGGGTATTATTTTTTAAATAGAATCTTGCTCTTTTGCTCTGGGTAGTACAGTGGCTTCATCATAGCTCTCTGCAACCTCAAACTCCTGGGCTCAAGCTATCCTCTCACCTCAGCTTCCAAAGTAGCTGACAGTACAGGTGTGTGCCACCACACCCGGCTAATTTTTCTATTTTTTGTAAGGAAAGGGTCTGGTTCTTACTCAGGCTGGTCTTGAACTCCTGACCTCAAAGTGATTCTCCTGCCTGGGCCTCTCAGAGTGCTAGGGTTACAGGTGTGGGTTATTGTACCTGGCTGTTAACATTAAATTTTCGAGATACATCCTTATGGCTATATATATTTATAGACAGTTCATTCATTGCTGCAAAAATACAGTGATATATTCAGCCATTCTATTGGTCTACTTGTTGGCATTTGGACTGCTTCTATTTTTGACCATTATGAATAGTGCTGCTGTGCACATTTGGTATACAAAACCTAGTGGGATTTTGGTTTAGATTATATTCAGTCCATGAATGAATTCAGAGAAAACTGATACATTTACAATATTATGTCTTTGAATTTGTGAACAAAATGTCTCTTTTTATTTAGGTCTTCTTAATTTCTCTCAATAACATTCTATAGTTTTCTTTTTCTTCTTCTTTTATTTTTTTGAGACAGAGTTTTACTTTGTCACCCTTAGTAGAGTACTGTGGCATGTGGCATCACAACTTACAGCAATCTCCAACTCTTAGGCTTAAGTGATTCTCTTGCCTCAGCCTCCCAAGCAGCTAGGACTATAGGCACCTGCCACAATGCCCCGCTATTTTTTTTGTTGTTGTTGCAGTTGTCATTGTTGTTTTAGTTGGCCTGGGCCGAGTTTGACCCCACCAGCCACAGTGTATGTGGCTGGCACCCTACCCACTGAGATATGGGTGCCACTGTTCTATAGTTTTCTATATTGAAATTGTATGGGCTCGGCGCCTGTGGCTCAAGCAGCTAAGGTGCCAGCCACATACACCTAAGGTGGCGGGTTCAAGTCCCCAGCCCAGGCCCGCCAAACAACAATGATGGCTGCAGCCAAAAAATGGCCAGGCATTGTGGCGGGTGCCTGTGGCCCCAGCTACTTGGGAGGTTGAGGAAGGAGATTCGCTTGAGCCCAGGAGTTGGAGGTTGCTGTGAGCGTGATGCCATGGCACTCCACCCAGGGGGATAGCTTGAGGCTCCGTCTCAAAAAAAAAAAAAAATTGTATGTATTATATTTATACCTAGAAATTTCATTTTAAATGGTCTTTTTTGAAATTTCATTTTCTAACTGCTTGTAGCAGTATATAGTATACAGAAACACAGGAGTTTTTTTTTTTTTTTTTTTAAGAGAGGCAGGATCTTGCTATGCTGCTCAGGCTGGAGTGCAGTGGCTATTCACAGACTCGATCCACTACTGATCAGCATGGGAGCTTTGACCTGCTCTATTTCCAAACTAGGTCGGTTCACCCCTCCTTAGGCAACCTGGTGGCCCTTGCTCCTGGGAGGTCACTATATTGATGCAGAACTTAGTGCAGACACCTGATTGGCATAGTGCACTACAGCCCAGAACTCCTGAACTCAAGTGATCTTCCTGTCTCAGTCTCCCAAGTAGCTGGAACTACAGGAGCGCGCTCCAAGTCCAGCCACAGGAGTTTTTTAAAGCTGATCTTGCAATTCATTTGCTAAATTCACTTATTTATTTTTCATTTTTTCCGGAAATAGAATCTCACTCAGTCACTGTGGGGTTGAGTTCCATGACATCATAGCTCACAGCAACCTCAAACTCTTAGTATCAAGGGATTATCTTGCCTCAGCCTCCCGAGTAGCTGGAACTACAGGCACCCGCCATAATTCCCAGCTATTTTTTAGAGATGAGGTCTTGCTCTTGCTCAGGCTTGTCTTCAACTCCTGAGCTCCAGCAATCCACCCGCCTAGGCCTTCAGATTGCTTGGATTACAGGCGTGAGCC